GAGAGAGAGAGAGAGAGAGAGAGACAGGTTTCACTCTCTGTTTGAAATGCTCTTCGATAAGACGTTGAGATGAAATGTATGTTGAAGCAAACCCAAGATCTGCACCGTGCTGATCCCATTTGAGACTTAAGCGGGTTAAAAAGGAGGCAATTAGAGGAGGAGAACCGGAGGGACCTTGACAGAGCGCTGTTCTTTAACGTCACCGCCAGCTTGAAGAAACATCACCATCAGCAGCCATGGCAAAACAAAAACAAAAACAAAAACGCAGGTATTCAAAGCCTTGAGAACTGAATAGAGGGGCAAAAGGTGCAAAGAGAGAGAGAGAGAGAGATGCGGATTGCTTCTTTTCTGAACAAAGATGTTGCAGAAAATGTTCCAAGGGCCCCCTTGCTTTGTCAGGAAAAATGAATGATAAGCCTTAAGCCGAAGGCCAAGGACACGATGGCTCCTGTGCTGCAGATTAAGTGCTGTATTGTTTTGGATGGTTTTCAAGGGAAGTGGAAAGAGAGGGGAGAATAACAAATACAGATGTTGCATGGGCAGAAAAGTAAAAGGCAGAGCTACAAGACATTTACCCTTTTCTTGGCATTAAGGGAGAGGGAGGTAGGAAAATGGGAGCAAAAGACCTTAATGGAGGACCCTCAGATCAAGCATATCAAGTTTCAGAGGCAGTGGGTTTCTCCTCTGCAAACTCCAGTTGTTTCTGCCATCCAGATGTTAAGGTTTAAACCTTATTTGAAGAAGCATGTCAGGAAAATCCAAGCATGCTTTCTGCACAGAGGCATCCGCACGCTGGTCCACAGACAAACAGAAACTGCATATACAGACACAGTATTTTAAAAGGAAAACAAACTGAAACGGAATCTCTCTCTCCCCTCCTAGCAGGAACATTAGCTTGACAGATACAAGGACAAACTCGCATGGCCAGAGTCATCATGTAGAACACCAGGTGGCTGAATGCACCGAAGGAGGACAAGATGCTGGATTCTCATTTATTTATTCATGTATGTATGTATTTAAAATTCCCAGTGCGCATTCAGGAACAGCACATGGAAAAACAACACACAGTGCCTGAAGGAGGAATCTAAGTCATGCGATACAAGCCAGATCGGGTTCTAGCAGAGACCTACTAAGACACCATGCACCTACAGTAAATTCTACGTTAAATTAAAAGAACACTTCATGTACTGAATGCAGCCTATGGAGACCGTGAGATTGTAAACAGAGGAGCATCGGAGAGAGAGGTTCTCCCCCTTTCCAACCTCAAAGGAGAACACTGTGATCAGTGACAAGATAATCGTAGTCGGTACTACATGCTGTCGGAGGAGGTAGGGGGAGCCCTCTCTGCTTCCATCCTTCTCTTGATTGCACAAAAGGGACCCTCAGCCTGCTCCCACTCTCCTTTCTAAGCCTCATTCCGGGATGCCAAGCAAACAGCAGGCTAGAATCCTTTCGGCGGGTCAGGCCGGGCGTGAGGGTCCCTGGCAACCGGCCTCCAGAACAGAATAGGTAGCCAAGAAGACATTTCATATTCTGGGGGAGGCCATCCCAGGTTCACATATAGCAGCCACACGGCTCCTTCCTAAATGCCACCGTCGTGTTTAGGAAGCTCTTTCCTCTTTGGACATCACGGCGCTGACAAGCACCCAGAGCAGCGACGGGCGGCTGGTGCTCACTCACAGGCCGCGAGGCTTGGAAAAGAGAGGAAGGAGGCCAGACGGTGACGTCTAAAGTCACGCAGCTGCCGAAGGCAGAGAGGTCAGTGTGAAGGTGTAGGGGTGTGGGTGTGCATACACACTGTCTCCAGAGAGGCCAAGGTTGGTCACAGCGAGGGTGGAAGCGAGAAACGAGGGCTCCTCATTTATTTCTCTTTTTCACTGATCATTGCAACTGACCCCTTTGGGACCTTCCAGTGATGTCTGGGCAGAATGTTGGAAAGTTATTTCCCAGAAGCCCCTCGATGCCCACCCCCGCCAGCACAGCCAGAGAGACGGCCTTGCGTGACACACCCACTGACCACACGCTGGCCGCGGGGACAGGGGGACGCCGCCACCCCCCCGAGCTGCAGTCCCGACCATCACTTTTCCCCCAAGCTCTGCCTTTTTTAGGCTGGGCATGAACAGGCACCACTCAGCAGACCTGCTTACGCTTCTCCTATCCCCCGCTTCCCCACCTCAGCCAGCAGCCCTCTTTGCCTTCCCTGCTTGCCGTCCATCGTCCTTCCCTTGAGGAGACCCCACACACCTACAGCCCACTCCACAGGGGGCCGAACGGAATGTTCCTGTTGGCAGGATGTCGTTGGGCGCATAAAAAGAACTGAGGGCTGTCGCACCGCAGACAATAGAGCTCTCTCTTCTGGCTCCTCGGCCTTCGCCACGAGACACAGCCACCACTTGCCAAGAAATCCCTTTGGAGTCCTGGGGACCATCAGAATCTCAGTGCATGCCGGCCTCCAAAAATGTGAAGATCGAGCTCCAAAGTCTGATGTAGATGAATCTGGGCAGCGTGGTGGTCTCCCTGTTTCTTTGCTCCTGGCAGCCATCTGGCGCCCATCTCCTCCCCCATGCTGTTTCTTTGATCTGGTGACAAGCACAGCAAATGCAGGAGGTTTGGTTGGGGGGAGCAAACCGAGAGGCAACGAGGGTGAGTCCCCATCTCTCCACTGCCAAGGTGGGCCTTTTAAGGCTACGGCACAGTCCAAGCTCCTCCAAAGCCCTAGGCAGCGGCCGTCCCCAAAGTTCTGCACAGTAGATAAATACATCAACACTAGAAGGTGGGTTTCCCGTCAGCACTTGGGGCTGGTCATGAGACGTCTCTTCCCTTTTTAAAAGGAAATAAATAAGAAGAAGAAGGAGAAAAAGATTAGGTTCTCTTGTAAATAAAGCATTGGGCTGAGAGGAGGTTTGCACTGCAGCTGCATCTTTCTGGAGAGGATGGTCATCATCCTTCATTCTCATTTCTATCTTTCCTTTCTTTCAAAGGCCCCAAGGTGGAGAACGTGCCTCTACCGCTGCTCACTTCCTTCTCAGCAACCCTGTGAGGTAGGGCCAGGCTGAGGGTGCGTGCATCGCTGGCCCAAGGTCACCTGGCGAGCTTCAGGGCTCACGAGGGACTAGGCCCTTGGGATCTCCCAAGTCACAATCCGACACTTGAATCTGCCTGCCACGCTGCCTCTCCTGCCTCTGTATTCTGCGGTCGCGGTCCTTGGCTGGCTCACCGGCCCACTGGGTTGCCGCCCTCTGTTCGACAGCGTGAGCCTCTTTCTGCGCTGGGTCTAAGTCCTTCTCAGCCTGCTTTCAGCGGGAACTGCGGCTGCACTTGTGGTCTGACTGTTTTCCTATCGCACTTCCTCGCTTCTCTATCCTGCTACCGGGAAAGGCATTTCCAAGCCTGTTTCTGAATCAGGGGGCTGTTCTTCCGCATCTGTCTCTAGCCTCAGTGTGGGAAGAAACGAGTCCTAGAATTACAGAGGCTGGACCGGTTGCCTCTCTCTGTGTGTGAGCCCTGTGTTGTCAGGAACTTCTCTAAGCCCTTTTAAAAACCCTTTCGAGTTGTCTCTTGGTACCTGATTCTAGGTTTTCACGATGTGCTGGGTGTATAGCTGGTCTTTCCTTGGCCTGTCCTCAATCTCTCACTCATCAGCTCCTGGGATGCCCTCATTTCCTGACCTGTAATCTGCGAGAGATGCTTCTGGGTTTAGCAAAGAAGAGCCTGTAGGGTGGGTGGGTGCGGCAACCCTAATCCAGCCTCATAAATATGGCTAAATACATGCATGGGTTACAAGCCAGTATTTTTTAAAAATCTAAATCTTAAAGCCTTCAGCGTGGATGGCCAGCTTTGTCAGTTTTTCTGTCTCCTTGCCTCTGGATATTTTAAATGTCTCATTCTTTCCATCCGGTGAAGGAGGAAATTCGCAAACTTTGGAATGCTCTTATCAAAACAAACCAACCAAATGAAATTCACATTTGCCCCTCCTGCCAGGGCAGGTTTAAGTACAAAATGTCTGTGAACTTTCAAACGTATCAGTTAGACAGGAAGAATTCAAGTAAACATTGCACTCAGCCTGATGTGAAGCGGCTTTGTGAACTCCAAAATTTGAAGTTGTCTCCTTTTGCTTTTATAATAAATGTTATTTATTAAGGTTTCATACTTTGTCCTTCCCCCAAGGAGACTGAAGTGGTGTGAATGGTCCTTTCCCCCCCCCCAACACATACTTTTCATTTTATCCTGACAACAATTCTGTATGTAGATTAGAGTGATAGACCAACAAGCTTCAGATCACCCAATGAAAGGGCAAAAAGCTACCTGGAAAACCAAAAAACACAGAACCCTTGTGTTCATCTGTATCAATAAACCTATCGCAGCTCTTTTGCCTTCTGCTGGGAACGGGTATTTTGTAAAGCCAATGGGTCTTGTTTGCTCATTCCAGACCAAACAGCCCCCAAATACTTTGCATTACAATCAGGGCTATTCACAACAAGATATTGTTCCTAGAAAAATCTATCCCTCTCCAACTATCAGGGATGACAGCTAAGCTCATAGTAAACAGAGATACTTGTTATTTGTAGTAACCAAAACATCTTGCTTTTAACACCCTGGCTCTCTGCTTCACGTCTGGATATGAACTGAGTCCCCACAAATAACTTTTCCGGATCATGACTCCTAAGAAATCCATTTCCCAAACTCTGGCACTCTCAACCTTACATCACACTCCAGGCCTCAATTGAACTTTTTAAAAAATTTCAACTGCCTCTCCTTCAGGTACTCTCCATTAGACAAAATTTTAAAAACCAAGCCTTCGGGGAGATTGGCAACCATTAAGTAGGTACCATATGGTCAATAATGAACTGGCAAACAACACAAGGAAATTTAGGAAGGGAGGTTTTACTCCCACCACCACCCCACGCTTTCTCCAGCAACAGAAGAGCACAGCCCATCATTGTGAGATTTGTAAGCAGTTTGGGGACGATTCAAAAGGGCAGGGCATACTTAAAAGTTAAAGCAAGTAATTAGAGGAAAGGACACGCATTTCGATTCCTGGCTTCTGTCATGCTAGGCTAGAGAACTTCCAGAATGCGAGAGTCCCGACGAACCTTTTTTTTTAACACCCTGAAACTGTATATTCCCAAGAGTGCCCCCACAGAGGCCTCCACACCAGCCACCCGCCCGCCCCCAGTCTCTCCAAGAATCATTAAAACCTCGCTAAGAACCATAATGAAGCGATGAGTTATGGATTAGTAGTTTGGCTGCTGTCGGGAAAACAAGGTCCATTAACGCTGCAGAAGCAAGTCATCAAGGGAGATACGAATCGAGGGGAAGAGGGGGCAGAGACAGAGAGAAAGAGTGCGTGAGTAAAGGGGAAATTTTGGGGGGATGAGGGGGATACCTGGGCATGTTTATACAGGGGGGGGGAATCAGGGAGCCAGGATATGTGGGCACTGCCTTTTATGCAGCAGCCCCTGTAAAGCAGGACACTAAGCCACAGAATTCAGCCTTTGATGAAGCACCATTTTGTTTTTTAAAAAGCACGTTTCTAGCCCTCATGACTGTGAAGATATGACAAGTAACATCTAGCAACACTGCTTTGGGTGCTCATTAATGCCGAGGGTTGCCCTAAGCTGGTAGACCCGATGGCCCATTGCAACAGCTACCAACCACCATGGCAGTAAAAGCGACAGAGCAAGATGCTGAGAATCAAGGGAGCAGGATAAAATTATGCAAAATTATGAGGAAAATCAGGCATAGCCAACACAGGCTACAGACATTTGTCAGAACAAGTCTGACACTCACACACCCGCACAACATCTGTATTGCCAGCATTACAACCCCTTCTGGTTGCTTTCTTTCTGGAGATGTTTATTTGTGGAAAGAAAGGGAATAAGAGCATATGAAAAGGGCATGTGTGCATTAAATGCCTTTGATTTAAAAACAGGGCCAGAGAAATGATATAAGTTACTTACACCGTACCTCTCTTTAACAATAGATTCCTGGAGTAAAAATGTACCTTCAAATGCTAGATTCCACCCCCCTCTTATTTTATTTTTCACTTTCTCTTGTGCTGGTCTATCTGATTAACAGTCCACCTCTTTTGGTGGCTTGAAAGCAACAGAGGGGATTGCCACGGATGGAAAATGTCAGCCTCAGGGAGCTGGGGTTTCTCTCTTCTGGGGCTCAGAAAGGTTAATTTGGGGGGTCTACAGACCCTGCCACCCACATTATGATATCCCTTCCCAAGGAAGAACAGTGATTTTTTCCTACGTCTTGCCTCCCAGTGTCCCGATGAGGGATTCGCTTTACCATGGTATCCATCCAGTGCTTGGGGGTTATTGAAAGGATCCTGTGTTTGTGGAAACAGGACAGGTGGCACAAACAACAGCCCCCCCTTATACAAAAGCTGGGAAACTATGGAATAGGGGCTGAATGAGGAAGGTGTGCCCCCCCCGAGGAATTCCAAACAGTTAGATGTGGACTCGAGGGCCACTGCCCCTCCACCCTGCCTACTCACCAGTAAGGCTGCGGTGGACATCGCTATCCTCATCTTCAGCTGGGAGGTCGCTGGGGCAGCTTTCGGTGGCGCTGGGGGGTCCTCCTCTGCCCCACTCGCTCCCTGGGCTGCTCTGGCTTTCCGAAACGATGCTCCCCAAGGGCCAGTTTTTACTCCTGGTTGGGGTACGAGCAGGTTCGCCACTGGAGACTGTGTGGAGGGAGTAGAGGAAGGCAGGAGGTCAGAAGGCAGGAAAACGTGTCGCTATAATGCTCCTTAAAAGGAGGTCAAGAACCAAGCAGGAGAAGCGGTGAACTGAGGAAAGTTTATTTTTCCGGCATTCCAAAAAAAGGAGGAACTTTCCCCAGGTTCTTCAGAAACACATGAAAGAGATGGGACTCCTTTAGAACTGAGGGTAACGTCTTATGTACCATAGGGTCAGTGAACATTTTTTTCAATCCTAAGGTCTCAGCGAACAATTCAAGGACCAATTTACTGGGCCAGAAGGTGGCAGGAGGAGGGTAGAGTCCTGGGAGGGGGCATTGGTGGAGATAACAGGCAAAGCACCCCCCCCATCTTGATCAGAATGAGTTGAGCCTCTGATCACCAGCCAAGTCACACGCCTGCTTTGCATGAGGCAGCATGCAGCAGATGGTGCAAAGTTGTCCGTCCCCCTCCCCCCCGGTATCGCTGATCAGTGATCGGAGAGAAGAGTTTCCTGTTCCTACACCCTGGGGAGGGGCCCAGTAGGCCAGTTGACACTACTGTATAGGGTTCTCTAGCACAGTTACTTCCCAGGGAGGGGCCCAGTAGGCCAGTTGACACTATAGGGTTCTCTACCACAGTTACTTCCCGAGATCTTTATTCTGAATAAAAATAAAGCTGCAATTTCATTCCACATTTCAGATCATGCATTGGCTGGACTAGATGACCTCCTGGATCCCTTCCAGCTCTCTGATCATTGGCCACTGAACTTGGGGTCTTATCCCTACGAAGCAGGTGCTCTGCCAATGAGCTATAGGCCACTCTCGTCCCCAAAAGTTAGGCCCCATGGCAAAATGGCCCTAATGCCCCGCCAAGAAACAAGGGGCCTTTATCAAGGGGGGGGAAGCAGAATTTTAAAATGATATGGTCTATGGCTGATGAGGCCCTTTCTGTATGAATCTGCAGAATCACTGCAAATCTATCCATTTTCAAAAAGAGAAAAAAATCCTATAGAGCTCTATCTTGTCAATAAAATGAAAAAGCCATTCGTTGCCCAAAACTGATGTGAAACCATCAATCAAGCTGGGCCAGCCATTGGAGATGCCTCAGAACAACAATCAATCAATGCCAAAGTATGCAGTAGATTAAAATCTTCCACAATATAAATATATCAGAAATGCACAGAGAGTTATAAGAAAACATGACATGATATAAAAGGGGAAACCAGGAAAATCAGATTCTTCAAGGCTGCAAACCTATAACCACTAATGTGAGAGCTAGTGCAATTGGACAGAATGGGGTTTACTCCTGAGAAGGTATGGAGAAGATTCCAAGGCTGGTTACACAAAACCCAAATTCTATTTTAATCCTCTTTTTTTTCCCCCCCCAGGACAGTTGGGAGCCAGGTCATCGAAGCGTTTAGCGTGCTGAACCAAGATTGAAGACACCTGGGTTCAGATACCGCTCAGCCATCAAACTCTCTTGGGCCACGTCACATTGTGTCAAACTGGCCCACCTTACAGGGTTGTTTGGAGGATCAAGCAGGAGAAGGGAGAGCCATGCTCCACAGAGGAAAGTCAGGATATAAATATTAATAAAGAAGTACATAAATGCAGTTTTCTACCACACACTCTCAAATCACACTCTTAAAAGACAAGCCTTACTAAAACCACTCTACATCGTTAGGCAAACTCAGATGTATCAACATTCTTGTGTGTTTGTGTCCTTTTCTCCTAATCCCTGCTTTTTTTTTTACACAACCTCCTCCCACCCCTCCTGCACTAACGTCTTGATGCGGAGAAGCGAGAAATGCATTCCACCACTCTTAGACCAAAGATCTCCAAACACATAAGACTATAGCTCCCATCATCTTCAGTCAGCTGGCATGGGGATAATGGGAGTTGTAATGCAAAACCAGAAGAGGAGTATGGAGTGGGGGAGGCTGCCTTAATCCCAGTGGCAGAGAAGTCCTTGGGGGAGGGGAGAATATGTCACTTCAATCACAGACACATATGCTCACATCCAGAGTAGCTTTTCTTACTTGACTCCGTGCGATGTTTCCTGGTCCCAAATCCTTTCCACCCCAAAGACAGGGAGCGGTCATCCAAGCTCGAGGAGCTGAATTCGGAGTCGCTTTCACTATCGCTAGAAACTACTGTGGAAAAAAATATGAAAAAAGGGGAAGAGGCTGTTATTTTAAATTCTCCATGCCATTTGTTAAAATCACTGCATGGATAAATAAATTCTGAAGGTAGCTGGTCTTGGTCTTTGAACCTAATATTCTTCACACGCCAAGACCTTTATATCAACCAGAATAGCAAGAAAGTGCAAGTTTTCAGATTCTCAAGAACTCTTTGCCAAGCTAAGTCAGGGGCAATCGGTTTTGACTCTCCCGATGCCTCTGGAGTTGCAACTCCCATACTGCCTAGTTGGGTACAGCTAAGGGCAAAGAATTGTTGTACTGGTAGTCCAAAAATATCTGGAGGGACATTTATTCCCTACCCCTGGAGCAAAGTGGTACCGAAAAAGTATGGGATAAGAAGGAAAACCCCAGAAAATCCAAATAACATAGTTAGGAAATCTGTAGTGAAATTTAGGACCAACTCTAGTGATTCGACCAGCCTGGCATGTCCATCTTGGGGCTGACAAAGTGTTCTGTGGAGTTTTAAAGCTAGCATACTTCTGTGGCATTTTTGGCAGATTTGGGTATTGGTTCAGTCACAGCTGTTCCGAAGACACATTTTACCTACACAGCCAGACAGCAGTCTTTCCTCTTAAAATATTTTTAAATTAAATGCTTGAGTCTGAGGGCCCCCCCAGGTTCCCAATGACGGGATCTTGTGGGGGGGGTGTCAAAGCTTGGGGAGTTCCTTCTGTGGACTACAATTCCCAGAATACACATCCAACAGGAAATTTCTGGTCGAGACGTGAGCTTTTCCAAACCTCCTGACGGAGAGGAAAAAACAACAATCATGTTCTTCTCCTTTAGAATCTCAAGAGCAGTACAGTACGAGTATTTCCCAACCCGGAGATCTAAGGACACTGATTTTGACCCACAAGGAAGTGTGTTGGTGACATACGGGTTGGCTACTGCCAAACACAGCACTCATTAAATATGGCTCTGCCCCCCATACCCTGATTGCTTTCTGCTATTCCGGCAAACTCATCCAGAGAGAGAGAGAGGAGAGAAGAGATTAAATATACAAGCTTCAATTTAGCTGACACGAATCCAAGGGCGCTATTTGAATTGGTAAACTGTTCCCACTTTACAGTTTAAAAAAAAAATCTCTCTGCAACCACTTCTGCTATTTAAACACTACATGAAGGGAGGGGGGAATCCCGAGAAGCTGCCAGCTGTTTGAGGCACGAGATCAGGTGGAAAGGAGAGGAGAGGAGAGGAGAGGAGGGGGTGGGTGGCATTTCCCCTTTGGGGTAGAAGGCTGCTTGCCAAAGGCTGGACATGGAGCTGTCCACCCTCTAAGCTTCCTCAGAGTATATCACCTGGAGCCCATGTTTAAAGCCAACAGCTATTTGAAAGCAGGGGCTCAGGTCGAGAACAGATTAAAAAGGAAACTTCAACTCCCGGGCATCTTCCCCCCCCCCCCAAATTATCCCTCAGCCAGGATTGCATGGGGAGAGTGTGCTATTCCTGGGGAGAAACTTTTCCAAACATGTTTAGATCAACCATCCGTTCAGAAACTCCAGTGGTGACACCTCCACAGATAAGTTGCTCAGATACTTATAGGTTTCAATACTGAACCACGGAGCACGGTATATAAATAAAACAAACTGTGCATCTCCTCTTTTAGTGGAACACAACATTTTGAGCTAGCTTTTAATCATCTGATTCCCCAACTCCACCCTTTTCATTCTTTCCAGGCTGTCGTGCCCAGTCCTTATCAGAACGATAGATGCCACAAACCCACAAATCCAAAATGCTGGGACTGTGGCCGATCCAAAGAACTGGTTTGAATATGCTGATGCATTGTGCTTTTGCAGATATGCATTTTGACTCTTAGCTGTGATCTTTTTCTTTAAAAACGCAATTCCAGTTCCGACCCACTGGCGAAGGCCCTTGTGGGTTTTCTTCAAAACCTTCCTTCAAAGGCCCTGCTCCGCCAAACTGTCCGTCCCATGCAAATGTCAATGCAGCAGGACATTGTCGGGCCCCACACGATAAATCAAGGAGAGGCTGTGGCCTGAAACATCAGGGAGGGTTACCCTGGCAACTGCTTGTTCACAGCAGGAAGAGGGAAGATGGATCCACAGCCATGCCGCTGTGTGCAAGCTTACACACCCATGATTAAAAAACACACACAGACACCCCTGCAAGGAGGGGGGGGTGTTCCTGAACGCAGCTTCCTGTTTCACCCCCAAAACTGAATGGCGCCCCAGTGCTGCCCCAAAACAGGGCCCAGATGAGCTGAGCGGTAGGCTGGCCATGCTTTCAGGCAAACAATTACCTCCGGTGGTCAATGCTACAGGGCGACAGCTGCAGCCCGCCAGGTTCCTCCCATGTTTTGGGGAGAAAGCTGCACATACATCAGCTAAAACTCAAATAAAGCCCCTTCTCCTTCTCATTCCCCCCAGTGGCTCAGTATATTGGGGTTCAAATCTCTGCTGCTCCTACAGCAACCTTCCCGTGGGTGGCGTGGGGAGGAGCATTTTGCTCCCAGGTACGAAGGGGAAGAGAGCAGACCCCCCTCTCCATCCCGCAAACAGAAGCCAGCTGGTTAGCCCACTGAACTTCATTTCAGGGCTAGCCATAGGGCAGCAAGCTGGTTTTGGGGGCCGAGGACTCGGTAGCTTCACACTTCCCTCCCCGAGGGGGTGTGCGCTTACAGAAAGCAGGGCATGCACCACCATGGTAAATGGGCAACTACAGGGTCCAGGGACTCCCTCCTTTCAACGTTCTTTATTACACTGACTAATCGTTAATAACAATCTTAGGATTGGGGAGCTGGAAGTGAGCCTCTGGATCATCCAGTCCAGCCCTGCTTAGGAAGAAGGCTCCGTGGGGAATCAAACTCCCAGCCTACGGCTCCACAGCCAGAGACTTAAACTATGGAGCTCTCCTGGCAGTTGCATCCTTAACTCCAACGTGGGTTGGACCCTCCTTTGAAAAGAGTTTGGCCCTTTGGCTGTTCTTCAAATCGAGGGCGGTCTGCCCTCAAAGAGGACATATAGTCACCCTAACTATGACACTTGAGGCAGTTGCTTCCCTTTACCCAACTATCGGGCCGGACTCAACCTACAAATTGCAGGAGAACAAAAAAAAAAAAACCCCAGATATGATACATCCACGTTTCCTTAAAAAAAAACAGAATTCCCAGCCTGGTCACAAAGAGAGAGAGAAGACAAGACAGACAGACAGACAGACAGACAGACAGACAGACAGACAGACAGACAGACAGACGTTAAATGAATCTGACCTCTCCCTCTGGCCCAGGTGTACGTGCGGCTGCTACCAACACCTTTGACATCCAACGCGGGCACCTCCACAGGGTGAGGCCTCAGGTGCAGCTCAGGCGCCCTGATACTGCTGCTACCGCTGCTGTTCTTTAAGGGCAAAATATATTTAGGGAGGCCTTTGTAGAACCAGGCACCTGATCGCTTCCAAACCTACATCAGCCAATTTAAAAAAAAATGAAAGAAAGTTAGTTAATGATGGACTAAAAACATTTTGTTGCTTTTAAACAAATACTCTCTAGAGAACAAATAAAGAAATTTTTTACAAAACTGCATCTGAGTGCTTATAAAAACTGGGGCCAGCACAAGCCACATTAGAAAAATACACTTCCTCTTGTGGGATTAATTCTTTTAGGACTGTATATGCTGGACCCTCCTCACAAACAAGTGAACAATCTAAAAACAGCTCTCCTCACTTCTATTGTTGTGCTGCTTCAAGCTCAAACTTAACAACACAGAAACTAAGTGAATGGGTTTTAGAAGGCTGCTTGTCTCTCTAGGCAAAATCTTTATTATTAGCTCAAGCGAAGGACAGGGATATTGGTCCATTTTGCTTCACCCCAAATTTTTGCACTTTTTAAAAAAAAAACTCTTGTTCCTTCCATTGTGAATATGAAGGAATGTATGAATTTGGCTCCCTAGAATCAACTGAAATGAAATTTTCATCCACCCACATGTCGCTCGTTTCAATAAACTACCCCCTCAATATCGACAAAGAATCTGCACGCTAGGAAGGGGCAGAGCTTGGAAAATTTTCGACTAAACTCTAACAGCCTCTCAGCCTGCACCGCTATCAGCGATTTGTGGGGGGAAAAACACCCCCAGCTAGCACAGGAACCAGCAACTGCAGAATACTGGGGGGGAGGGGGTAGTCCAAATAATGGCTTTCTCAAGAGATGGAGCACCCACGTCAAGATTGTTCATCAGTGGAGAGACTGAAAATCAGAGCTTCCTGAAGGCAGAGGGATGAATAATACGGGTATCTTTTGCAAGAGACCCATGGTAGGAGAGGGCTGCATGCTTCCAAGCTGCTCGTGGGGCTCCCTGGAGGCAAGGAGTTCCTGCCAGTCAAGAAGACAATGTTGTACAAGACAGATTTCTTTATCTGATCCTGTGGATCTCTGCTTATGATCTAGACTATCACAGTTTTTTTTCCTGCAAACTGAGGCAGCTGAGCAGCTGACAGTAAGGCTCCTGAGATGTAAGAGCGAAGTATCGCTATGCTAAAGGACAAAGCATTGCGCTACCTGTAGGAGGCCAGTTAGCACTGCACAGAAGAACAAAGACCGTTATGAGCAAACAGCTACCTGTCGCTGCGAAAGGGGCTGTCGGAAAAGAAGAAACGGAAGGCCACGAGGTTTGGTAGGAAAGAAAACTGGCTTGCTTCAGCCCCCAACTATTCATCGATCCATCACTTGTTGCTATTGTGCTATCAAGTTGAACCAACTTATAACAGCCCTAAGAGCGCTTTCAAATTCAGTGAGACATTTCAAGAGTGGCTTAACCACTTCCACACACCCCAGCGGGATTCCATGGCTGAACGGGGATTTGAACCCAGGCCTCCTGAGTCTTAGTCCACCTGTCCATTCGCGACACCATACTAGGTATCGTTAACATCATCGTGTGCGGTCAAGTCAATTCTCACTCGTACCAAACCTTTTTCCAGGGTTTTCTAGGTAGAGAATACGTAGACGTGGTTTCCCGTTCCTGTCTTCCGGGGTTGCCCTGGGGCTCCTATGCCGCTTGCCCAAGGCCACCCAGGCTGGCTCTTCTGGGACACACGATGGCAACCTCTGGCTCCTCAGCTAGATACCTAACTCACTGAGCTATTCAGCCAGCTATTTATTCATCACTTAGTCTCATTTATAGCCCACTTTTCTTCCAATAAACACGAGAACAGATCTTTCCTCCCTCTGCTTTTGGCCCTCACAGCAGTCTTGAAGGGTAGACCAAGATAAAAGAGGAGCAACTCTTCTGTCAAGGCTGCGTTTCATGGCTGAGTGAGGACCAAAACAAGAATCTCTCAAGACCCAGTCCAGCACTTCTGTTGCTATGTCACACTGGCTCTCAGTGAAGTTAGTCTGGTCTGGTGGTTTTTGACTACAACCACCATCACAACCAACTCCTGGGCCACGCTGGCTGGGGCTGCGGGGATGCATGGTCCAAAAGCATGAAAAAATCTTCCCATTTGTGACAGGATAGAAATACTTTCAACAAAATCAATGGAATAAATTAAAGATGTGCCGGGCAGTTTATACCACCTGGCCCAGTAATCAGAAGCAGAGCTTAGGAACGGGAAGGTTCGGGGGTTTTTTGGAAGTAGCATTTCTCAGCCACCAACCGTAATTGTGCTTGAAACACACACACACACACACACTAAGAAGGCAAATAAATCCCAACATGAATGCAGCAAGCAATGATAAATGCATTATGAGATACTAAGCAGATGCCTCTCAGACATCCAGCTTAAGAAAGAGAGGCTCAAGCAGAGAGAGGATGTTTCAGGGCGGAAGAGAGGAGCTAACCCTGCAGTGGAAAAAATGCAGTCCAAGTTAGCACAGGTGATAAAAATGGTGCACCAGAACACGCTGTGCATTCCAGTTTTAGTTTTAATAGCAGGATCCTGATGAAGGGAGCTTATTTTAAAAACATTTAAAGTATATGGCTCTGCATAAAGGAGAGGTTGAAGTAGAGGGGAGGCAAGGATCGTGAAAATGAAACAATATCCCCTAAAAAAAAATTGATTTGGGTCTGGCGGCAAAGCTAATTAAAAAAATGGAATGAGAAACATTGAGAGTCAGGGAGATGAGGATTTATTCTAACAAAGTAAAGCAGAAGGCTGAGAAATACTTCAGGAAGGAGATGTGTTTGTTGTTTTAAATTTTAAAACATTTTTTTAAAAAAAAGATGGATCTGAGAGACAGCTTGGGGCTGTAAAAACCACCTCGTGGGCTGCACACAGGTCCACCACCCCTTATTTGCAGTGAGTCCGGGGGGATCTTTAGATTTTTTGTGTGTGTGACTCCACACTGGTTTTATAAAGCTACCATTTCACCCATTTATTCACTCCTCTGTGGGAGCCATCCCTCTGTTCCAACATGGCTGTCCAGAAGTTCTGGACAAGGGTTCCTGAGAGCTAGAAACTTGCCTTGAAAAGGAAATGTGGGAACTCAGGAACCTCGTGATACTCACTTCAGCATCCCAAACCCCAATCTCCCCATTTGAACAGCAAAACTGCAGGACATAGATTATACAAATGGTTAGGCCCACGAAACAGCCACTGGAACACCTTGCTGACTGGCGGCATGAGAGCCCTGGCTCATTTTTTGCTAACGGCACGCTTTATTATTGATTGCGCGGTAAGGAATTCTGCCCACACGCTCATTTCAATGCGCCTCTGCCTCTCTGCCACCATAAAAGCTGGAGAGCAGCAGGATAAATGAGACAGGTGGGGAAATTAAATGGGCACCTCTGCTCGTTTCATTATGGGCAGGCAAAGCTGTGCAAATACATCCTTTAGCTCAATCTCTCTCGAGTCCTAAGGAATTTCTACAAAGGCACCAACCCCCCCCCCACATCCCTGTATTTAGGAGGATCTCCTGTTCAACCTCCAGTCTTGTGATCATCAGCAAACGATGCCATCAGCCATCAAAATTTGCTGCAATGGGTCAGCCCATGCCTGGAGGGTCTCCCCAGCCACCTCCAGACAGCACTCTGTCCCTGCTTCAAAACCCTCCATTCATAACAAGGCCGGCCCTACTAAGGGGTAGAAGGGTGAAGCTGCCTCTCCCACATGTGTCAAGGTTAGCCCCTGCTGAAGGAAAATAAATTATATATACATACAGCACTTACTGCTGTGTTTTTATTGCTTGCAGTTTATTATTTTTAATTATGTCTCTCCTCAAGAGAGTTTGGGGCAGCATACAACGCTCTCTCCTATCCATGTTATCCTCTCAACAACCCTACGAGGTAGGCCAATGACTGAAGGATAGAGAGAAGCAAATGGCCACCCAGTGAGCTTCAAGGCTGTGAACTAGGGGGTAGGAAAATCCAAAAGCTTTGTTTTCTCTAACGCTACAACTCCCTCTTCTTCTTCCATGAGATGCTTTCCATTCTGAATATGGGTTTGCAAAGCTGCTATATTTGTCCATACTAAATGGAATTCCAGCTGGCCAGACAGCTTAGGTCTTCGGCTGTGGAACCAGAGGTTGGGAGTTTGATTCCCCCAACTGGGCGTCCCAGAAGAGCCAGCCTGAATGGCCTTGGACAAGCTGCAAAGTCCGAGCGCACCCCTGAAAGAAGGGAATGTAGACTACCTCTGGGTAGTTTCTCCCTAGAAAGTCAGAATTGACTTGGGGGCACATGATTATTAAATGGAAACCAAACATTCCTCCACAAACACCAGGCTGATTGATATATGCATCTATGCCCAGGTCTATCTCATTGGATGAAAACTTACCCTGCATGACGGTTCCGAGTTCAGTCCCTGGTCTCCCTAAAGCAGGTGTGCAAAGAAACTCCTGTCTCAAAACCCCAGGGAGCTGCCACCCGTGGAAACAGACAACATGACCCACGTAGAGAGTAGTGGGCTGGCGCAGGAGAAGGCAGCTTCCCCGGTTTCTGCTTAAACCAAAACTTTATATGGACCATGAGGACTAGAATCCTACACTGTGCCATAGCTCAGTAGCAGAACGTCAGCTTTGCATGTAGAAAGGTTCCCGTCTCAATCCCTTGCTCAGAAAAGTCCCTGGGCGAAACCGTGGGTGTTACCAGCCAGTTTCTACAACACTAGACTCCAAGGATGAATTACCTCAGTAGAAACAAGCTTCCGTGATTCCCATCTGCTTGGCCACCATGGGAAACAGAAGACAAGATGGGATCGGCCTGACTAATATAGAAAAACTCAAGCAGCCCGTATAAGGAGGTCCTCTTGCCCCTTTTTCACCTTGCAGATAAAACGGGACTGCTTCAGAGAGCAAGAGACTGCAGTAAATCTGTTCACCTCTTCAAAAACAAGGCCGTAAAAAGCATAAGATGCCTACTGAGCAGGATGCTGTGAAACAAGCCCCATCAAGGGTAACCATGCCAAAAGCCAAAACGGAAGAGAGAAAAAAAAACACCCAAAATTGCTCAAAAAAGAAAAAGAAACAGGAGAGAAAACAGCCAAACAAGAAACGGGGGGGGCGGGGGGGGGGGGAGATCAGCATAACTTTCAGGTTCATCGGCCACATGGGGCTGCGTGCCGGAAGTGGAAACCACAACATCTGAAACAAAAATGTTTCCCACCTTTAAATCGTTGGGTCATAGGACCAAACAATTAAAAGGTGGAAATGAAAAATAATAATAACGGGAAATAACAAATACAGCGACGAGCCTGTGAGGGTATTTGGGAGCCAACTCTTTTGTTCAGAATTCTTTGGCCAGCAAAGGCCTGTCTTTTTCCCAGGCTCTGAAACAGAGCTGATTAAAACAAGGAAAAATTGTATTTTTACCTGCAGACTAGGCCCAATAAAATAAAATAAAATAAAATCCGGAAGGCTTCTTATGAGCTTACGGCTCTTTATGACACTTAAGGGACTGGGACTTTTAAAATGCTGTCTTGTTCCACCCAGGAGGAGGAGAACAAAGGGAAAAAAGTCTTTTAAAGGATGTAATTATACTGATGACATGGTACACTGGAATGAACTAGAAAGGTGGGGTGGAAATAGCCCTTGTGAGACCCAAAAGAAAGAAAGAAAAAGAAAATATCTTTATCAAGACCTTCTGAAGCAGGGAAACCTATAGTTTCTCCAGGATGCCGACTGCTTAAAGCTCCATCTGTCGATGCCACAGGAGAGGGCAAGAGAAACCCCATCCCACAGAAGCCACGCTTTCTGGGTCCTTTCAGGAGCCGTAACTTTTCCAAGCACTGGCCCCAAGGCGATGTAGCTTCTGTAACCACTTAAGCCACCCAGGACATGTATGTCACATTTTTAAAGGTTTTCCCTGCAAAAACGGTTCCCTACAGTTTCAGCAGGCAAAAAGACGAGCAGGCAGACTTCTAAGGGATGATTTCCCCACATCAGCACCCTCCAGATACGGCCTCTCCCTTTCATCCTAGCCACTAGGCATACCGGCTGGGGCCAAAGGGAACCATAATCTGAAGGGGAAAAAAACAAAAAACAACTGAAAAGTCCCCATCAGGGAAAGGAGTTTTGGTGGGGAAAAAGCAGGACCAGAAGAAATTCCTTACTCCGAATCAACCCTCGATTTCCATCATGCTGTTTGCTGACAGAGCGGAAGAAGCTCTCTCGCAGGGGTGGCGCGCCTTTGCCGATCCAGACCTTTTGGATGACAACCTTCCACAGTCCTTTATCACGGGCCATCCCCTATAGGCTGGGGATGCTAGGTGTTGTAGTCCAAAGCCTATGGATTGCCCAAGGTTGGCCACTCCCTCCTCCCACGGTCGTTGGGAAGACCAAGAAGGCGAGAGGGAAGACCACCCAACATGTTGGGGCCAAAAGGACAAATCAGAGATGGCGCTAACAAAAATGGCTCATTTTGCCCCCAAGGGCTCTCAGGGGCTGAGAAGCGGCATCTAAAGCACAACAGACAAGACACAGATACTCTCTCCCCCCCCCCCAAATTATCACAAGAGGCCGTGCCTCCCACAGACCCACCTCTCTCTGCTCACTGCAGATCTTACAGAACCAGACGGGTCGTTTCTGGGTCCCCGGGGTTTCTATGCCACATTTGGTGCAAACTTTCTGGGGGGAAAGGAGGAGACAAAAGAAGGGAAGGGGGGGAAGACATCGTTAAAATGGCCAAAGTGCAAAAGGAGAGGGCAAACACAGGGGTAGGGGAGGGGCACGCCAGCGTCAAGAGCAACCCGTCATCATGACAGTTCCCTGTAGCTGAGCCCCCCCCCCGGTAAGACTCCAAAACCCCACCACCCCCAATTAGGCCAACCTGGATCCATACAGCAGTTCCTGTGCTTTCCTCTGTCTTCCAGAGGAGCAGGTCTTTCGTAAGGCCAGTCTGAAGCAGGGAAAGCTGCATCTGAGTCTCAGATACACGGGTCCAGCCTTTGTCCCCACGAAGCGACAGGCTGTTTGTACAGAGATGTTTACCGGCTGCCTGAGGCACACAGACTAAACCAGCCGGCATGGCCCATCTTGTCAAGATACGAGGCTTGGGGAGGGAAGGAGGGGCATCTAGAGGTGGACTTCCCACCTCTCCACAGCACTGGCTTATTTGCCATCAGCTGGGGATTCATGTGATGGGTCCAGTGTTGGCACTCAGTTTAATGGACTCTGTAGCCATGCCCTTGAGGAGAGCCCAACCGTGCAGGCTTCTGTGTTCTTCTACCTTCATCTCTACCAGGATCAGGTCTTTTGTAAAGCTAACAAATCCTCATTGTCCATCGAAAGCCACACTGCACCAAAACACTTTGGGGCTACAGCAGGGAGAACTCGTTTATTCTGTATTGTCGCTCAGAACATGCGCCCTCTTCTGCCGGTCATTCGGGAGGCCTGGACTCAAATCCTTGCTTGGCCATGGAACCTGGATTTGAACCCTTGCTCAGCCATAGAAATTCACTGGGGCAAAGGGTAAAACTTAAAATTTTTGAAAACCCTGTTAGAGACACTGTAAGCAGGATGTAACTTAAGGGCACCCAACAAACAGTGAAGACTGCAGCTAAGCCCAGAGAGAAAAGGGAGGCACGAGAAGATACCAGACGATGCTGTTGCCCCTTCTAATTAAAAAAAAAAGAGTCCATAGCCTCATTTTGTGACCCCTGGTTTTACTCCAGCACTAATGGCAAGCTCTAGAACCAATGGTGCTGTGGCAATGGTTGTTGGTGTTAACAGACTCCCTCCCCGCTCTGGATTGAGGGACGGCTCTTGGGGGAGATGAGCAAAATTAAGAACTGTTTTGAACAAGAGAAGGAGAGACGGGGCGGGGGGGGAGAGAGGCAAGCAGCCGACGCTCAATAAAGAAAAATAAAATGAAAATCAATTCCCCTAATGAGGAAACAGCGCTAGCCCTGCACGGTGGTGGGAGGAAAAATTAAGGCATCAGATTGAACCTCCAGGGCCGCAGATGGCTCTAACAGCCATCGACCAAACAGCAGGAGGGCCGGCTGAGCCATTTAAAACGAAGCCCAGTCCACCCGGGGAGGGTGGAGGGCTGGCCACCCAGCTACGGCATAAGGAGAAACGTAACCCATGCAGCGAAAAGCTGCCGCGGAAACCTTCTGCATGGCTTTGCCCTTTATTAGACCTGTTATTGGCCTGTTCCGTTCCATCTCAGACATCTCCTGCCCCATAGATTTCCTCTTGGGGTCAGTGCCCGCTCTCAGGGGCAATCTGGTTTAATACAATCCCAGAAGTGCCCCAATCTGACATCAATGGGTTTATCTGACGGGAAAGAAGAAGAAGAAAAGGGACAAAACTCATGGCACTTGGGAGGTGGGTTGAATGGCTTCGCCATGACTCTTACTGACGGTGTTCAACCATTTTCAAGAAAGTGCAGGTGGCCCCATCAGCCTCTAGCCATAAAACCAGCAAAGAGAATCTTTCTGGCATCTTAAAAGGCTGAACAAGTTTTATGGGGTATAAGGTTTTACAGACCGCGGTCCACTTTATCGGATGCCTATGAAAAACAGGTTCTTGTTGCTGGGAAAACTTACAGCCTTGCAATAAACTTGGTGTCAACCTTTTTTAAGGTGCCACACAACTCTTTTCATAATATTCAATTGGAAACTGGAAAGGAGAGTCACGCTGAAAAGATCTATAGCTCTCTTGGAGATCAGAAATTTTCCTTTTTACCAGGCTTCATCTTCTGCAGCATTAACTTTTTTTAAAAAAAATTGAATGCTTTCCATCCTGAACACAGGGAAAATTTAGAATTTTGCTTCATTCATCCAGAACAAACTGAAATTAAAGCCTGTTCCGCTTATACCGGCCAGATTCAACAGGTGCAGCTATTCGTGGCACAGAGAAAAAGGATGAACTCGCCTGCTAGATAGCAATTAAAGAGGAGGAGCCTTCATTGAAAAAAATGTGGCAACCCTAATTCAGAACAGTCACCAGGAATTCCAAAGCCAAACTTGAAGGACTGAAGCATTCAAAACCCGATGAATCTGTCCATTTAATTTCTCCACTGCACCATTTTAAAAACTCATCAAATTCGGAACATAAAGACACTTGGGATTTCTTTCTGATTTGTGAAATTGGTGAATCAATTTCAGAAAAAATTACTAAACTCTCATCCATTCCGGTGGCCATCTCAGAGACATGGAAAATGAGAGAGAGAAGAGAGAATACCATTTCATTGTTTTTGCTATAAAATCGAGTGCTCAGTCATTATTCTCCTCCCTCCAGCAAAAAGGAAGAAGAATTCCTGAATCTGGAAATATGTTTGATTTTTCTCTTGTTTCTAGGCTTAACATGGCCCTAAAAAGAGGAATATGGTCTCCAAAGTGGTGTGCCCTACTGCAAAAAAATTAGCCATTTCTGGCAAATGCCTCAAAAATGGCAGTAAACCTAGACTATGCACTGTATTTGGGCACTGAGCATGTTAAATTCCTGTCATTACTCTGTTCCTTCCTCAACCCATATACAGTATTCAAAGCTGTGTACCTCAGCATTACTGAGAGAAATTAAACCACCTCTTGTTACACGTATACACATATACACACACACTCCCAAGGAACTTAGAAATATATTTGGCTTTCAAAAATATGCCCACCAAACAGTGATTAGCAGTCAAGTCCTCCCTCTTGTGGGCACTCAAGGAATTCTTGAAAATATTAGCACATGTTTCCTTTTTCCAAGTTTAACCTCTCCCTTTTTAACTCCTCTTCC